AAGAAGACACAGCACTCATTTTTGAGGCCCAAAATGCGTCTTCTTCCCTTCTCATCTTGTTACTTTGGCTATTGCACATATCCATGAAATGCCACTTATTCGCCGATTGTGATAGCAGTCGAGTGAAATTGAACGTACGTATTTGAAGACGAAAGAGAGGGGGACAGGGACGGGGGATTTATAAACTCCAATCCTATCCCACTAGCAGCTCTTCGTTCCTTCTGCTTCTTTCTGTCGTCTTCCTCTTTTCTCTTCATTCTCCTTTAAGCGCTCATTTCTACGTAAATATACCAATTTTTGTTTGCAATGTATGTGTGTATGAATGTTTGTACGTGGATGTATTTGCCTGTATATATGTGTGTGCATGTGTGTGTGTGCGTGCATATATGTGTATGTCTTTGTATGCGTGTGTGTGTTTCGTATAAAACGCATTCATGTCAAAAATCAAAACTCCCTCTGCATTCATTTTTGGAAAAAGCGGAAACGCCCCACTTGTTTCCATGCATTAGCAAATGCCAACAGCAACCACACGCTGGTAAGGCTGTCGATGTATGTAGTGTGCGTATGTATGTATCCATATATGTGTGTTTGTGTGCGTGTGTGTGTCTGCACGCATGTATGTGCGAACACTAATCTGTCCGTACCGGTATGGCCAACTAATAGTCTTAGGCAAATAAGCCAGCAGCAAATTCTTCTGCCGGGAAATATTCCACCTAATTCCCTGGGATGGGCACGGGTACGACTAGAATGATAAGCATTCAGCACTCAAATGCACCAGATTTTACCGCACAATCTACCACTTCAGGACGCATATTTTTGTTTTTTTTTAAAGCAATTTCCCTGTGCTCAAATGGTTCGAATGTTTTGTCTACTAAATTTTGTGCCTTTTTTCTTGAGAATTTCTTATCACTTTGCCTAAATCCGTTTCCTTTTTGGTGCTCCTGTGCTCCCTGGCTGGGGCGGGGGATTGGGGGAGGGGGAGGGGAGGCGTACCACCTTTCTCGTTACGAGTGATTTTGGTTGGAACAATCAAGTGTAGCAAGTCCTCCCCCCCGTCCCTCCTTTCTCCCTAACCCCTCTTCCCCCCTGCCCTGTTTGCTCCCTTTCTCCAATGGGAACGGCTCCCAAGACATCCCCGTTTGCATTGTTCGGCTGGTGTCCAAAGTCAAAAGGGAGAAAAGAGAGCAATGTCCAAAGTCCACTCGATGGTTGCTGCCGGGCAAACTCACCTCGTCCGCTCGAGCTCGTCCAAATCCACCTCCATGGCAGTGCTTGCTTCGTCCGAATCTGTCCAGCCCGCTCGCACTTCACCGAAACTCCTGGAATAATGGCCACGGAGAGAAGGGCACTCGGCAAGCGGTCGTTTACAGCCGTTACACGTGGAATCGTGCAATTTACATATATTCCAATTTCAACGCATTCAATATTAAAAAAAATGTGACGTTTGGCTATTTTACTTTTGACGTGGAAACGTGTAATTTGCATATAATCCAAG